AGCGGTGAACAAAAGGTTTAGAAATGCAAGTAGGAATTAGACATAACAATAATTTGAACACCCCTTTCAACAAATTTTTCCGAATCGTGTCAAAAACGAGTCAGTTGGAGTCAGTTGAAACAGATTTACACCCGATCGAACCGCCCTCGATCTCCCATCTTTACACATTCATGTACAAATTTTGGGGAGTTCCAACAACCCGAGATTCAAAGAAATAAATCGCCTGGTAAACAAGTCCACAAAAAGGTCTCACATTGAATGTAAGCGGGAAATACACTTCCCTGTAGACGCAACGTCACCCAACGCCACCCGACGCCTTATCATGTTGGTGATGTGTGCACGTCTGTTCGACTCAAGCACACGCCACGTCACACATTGTGCATCACAGTAGTCAATCACAGTTCTAGCGAAATCGATAGCTCTGTGGAAGAATATGAGGAAGACATCGAAGAAATGGCAGCAGCAGCGATTTGCTTACAACGGCGATCAGAAAGACACATGAATTGAACCTCCATTTTGTCGTATCTGGCGAATATCATAAGTTGACTTTTATGTTAGAAAAGGATGAAAATGCTGATCTATTCCACATGTATTTTCAAATGATAAAACAAAAATGTGATTATCTGCGTTCAATGCAGTAATTTTTGCCGTGCTCAAATAAAACATGTCAACTTCATCCATACCTTCCCGTTTTGTACAATGATCTTAACGGATTTTCCGTATACGTGAATTTTCCTTCGTTATTTCAACAATTTCATGAATAGGCATCTGAAAATTTTATGGTTTTTTTGAATTTTGGAATTTATAAGACTTATCTCGAATAAAGTTATGTACATAAAAAATAAATCCGAATGGATGTTGGGTTGAATCGCCCGACAAATCTGGACAATCGGAATCGTGGTTGCAACTCGTAGAGTGCCGACTTCAAATTACCTTGTTTAACCTCCTTCCTTTATCAATATTTTGAAGAATAATCAGGTTAAGTTTAACTGTTTACCTCTTTTTTTTATTTCTTTTTTTATTTGAGCGTTTTTGATAAAAAGATAAAAATCACGAGACACCTAAACATGTAATTTTTTCTAGTTTCTCATGGGACAAAATTTTTGTGTTTTTGTTTTGATTTTCTTGTATTTAAAATACCAGGGACAAGAAAATTTGAAATAAAGAAAAACACCAAGTTCTTTTATCAAGATGTTGACGAATATACAAGGTGAGTTTAACTTCCGTTCCGTCTATTTTTTATAGAATTGTTTGTAAAATTCCCGACCTTTGAACTTGAAGTTTTGTCTCGTTTCTCCTGAAGCAACATTTATGGTTATTGCTTGAAAAACTTCTCATGAACCAAAATTTCATACTAACTCTCCCAAAAAACCGAATTATATTTTTTTTTTGAAAAAACGCAATCTTTTTTAACCGAAAAAAATTTGTTTACTTATAATTTTAATTGAGGCCTAGTAAATGAATTGCTCGTGGTTAATAAAAATGAGTTTTAAAAATAGGGTAGGGGGAAAATTTTAACTCACTCTATATCTTACCGTTTTTTAAAGAAATTTTTTAACCGTCATATGAAAGAAGTATGTTTTATTTTAATATGTAATTTTCCATTTGAGTTGAAACTAATGTTTATTTGGTATATTTGGCTCTTATATAAAGTCCAATATTCATATTCTTGAGTTATTAATACATAAACGTTTATATTCAATTGTACAGAACTTTTAATTTTAATTTTAATAAATTTTCACATTGTTTATTAGTTGTTTTATTACTTTTAAGACAGGGTTAAGTTGAAATTTAAAAAAAATATAGTTGGAAGTAAAAAAGGGTTAATTTGAGAGAGAAAACCTATATACCTACATAAATTATATTTTCTAATCAAAAAAATATTTTAATTTAGTGGTTACCAAACATTTTGGTCTACCAGTTCGGGCTAAGTTGATCTAGCAGACGATTTTTGGCATTTTGACACGTTGTTGTGTCTGGGGAAGATGGGGAAATGCCAAAGACCAGCCGGACAGATAAGCTAAGTTCACCACTCCGGTTAAATCGCACAATTTAATATTATTCAATGTTTCTCTACCACTTTTTTTTAAAACATTGTTTTACAATAATAACACGGGAAATCAATAATAAATTACGGTTCACTGAAACGTTACGAGAACGTAATTCGTTTCGCTAAACCACCATTGTTGACCCAGCCAAATAAATTTCATTTTAAGGTAGAAAAATAAATAAAACTTTAATTACCTGAGGAGTTTTTAGGTCGAGTCCAAAGTGGTGGAAAATCAGAGAAAAATTAAGATTAAAAAAAATTGAAAACGATAAAAAACTTTATTAAAGAATGTTTTTTAAATTTTTTTCGTTGTGGACAATTTTACAAAAGTAAAGGCCATTTGTTTATATTTTAAACATATAATAAACCTCTCAACCATGTATGATATTACAAAGTCATCAGCCGTGTTGTTCCTGCAATGTCCAAAATTCTTGAAAGTCTCCTTTAAAGCGCTTAACGCTCGTCTTAGATAGACATAAAATCGTTCCTTCACATCAATTCGGCTTCCGTCCTCATCAATCCGTGATCCTATAAGGTTTCAGAGTTTTTAACACTCCTCTGGAGAATATAGAGTATGGCTTAGGTGCGTTCCTAGACGTATCAAAGGCTTTTGGTAGAGTGAATACCTTAACAAAAGGCTTCGACAAGTGCGAAGACGTCTAGTACGAAATCTGTCTTGTCCTCAGATAAATCGTCAAAGCTCTTTACTACGTCACATATCTCACTATCCGCAACGACCTTAACATTCTTTTTTTTTTTTTTTGCCAAGGAACTGATCCGTTCCCAATTCCAAATGTTTCACACCAATCCCGAGAACCAGCCACATCGCATTAACTGCCTAATCATTCAAACTGAGTGTCAGCATTAGGTCGTTTCTTATTGCATATGTCCTCTGTGTGCATTGCTAGAATTAGTGTTAGTTCTGCAACCGTGTGAATAAACCGTTTTTTAATGTGTACTAATATGTGTAGAGTACAAATAAAATAGTTTAAAAAAATATATAATATTTTCACGGAATGAGGTGTGTTGTACATCACGCAAAATCAAAGCTCAATTAGATTTCAGTTTTCTTTTCTGCAAGTTAATCCTAAGGCGGAGTATTTTGCAAAAGGATACAATGAAAGATATCCAAATTCAATTATTCTTTGACTCGACATTCAGTTCACGAATGATTTAAAAAAATCTAGTCCATTTTGGGGAGCCATTAATTATACATAGACAGATTTAATATTCGTTAATCCATCAAGCTTTGTTTTGTCCCAAAATATAATTCATTTGTGCTTCAAGTGAGGACAGAATCGAACCATTTTTACTGAAGAAACCAATGTTTGAAACAAAGACTTGGATTGTATTTACCCATTTGTTTTTTCTAACGACCCCTTCTGTAAGAAGTGGAAAGAGGGTAAACACTGTCCATCCATAGCCGGAATTTTCAACACAACAGGCATGCAAATACAAAAAAAGGTCGTTTATCGTTTATCATTTACGATTCCTAAATAAAACAAAATCTACTACACGTTTTTGACATTTTGACTAGGCGTTGTAAACTGGTACCAAATACATTTATTTCCTTTTTGACATTGTTTTCTTTATAATGCGTGTTCATAGTTGTTAAATGCACGTTGTTTATTCTGGGTTATTATAATTATTGTGTATTATACTTGCTCGTAAGGTGAATAAAATTGAAGGACATCACTAGACTGGAAACGCTTTCAAAAACAGACAAATAAGGAGAGGTTGTACGATTAAATTTTTATTTACAATTTAAAAAATTCGCGGAATTGTTTAGTTTAAAACAAGTAATGGGTTAATATGAGAAATTCAGATTGTATTAAAAATAATCGAGGAAACAGAAATGCAATTGTTAAAGAAGAAAAAACATTGAATAATCATACAATTAATTAAGGTTTTTAGTTGAGATAAAAAAGTCAATGGCACGAGCGGGATTCGAACCCACGATCTTCGGCTTGATACGCCGCTGCTCNCAAGTGGTAGAGCAGCGGCGTATCAAGCCGAAGATCGTGGGTTCGAATCCCGCTCGTGCCATTGACTTTTTTATCTCAACTAAAAACCTTAATTAATTGTATGATATTAATTGGTCAAGCGGACCACGAAACTAGTGAACATTGAATAATTTTAATGCGTTCATTGCCCTCTTCAGGGAGAGCTTCATCCTGCAAAAATAGATATGATAGCTCCATTTCATCATGATGCCAACTACCGATTTCTATATCTTTTCAGAAGGTAATCGAAAAATGCACTTTGTAGGGTTTGCGTTCGTAGAATTCAAAGAACCCGCACAAGGTCCGTCTACACTTTGCGGATTTGTAATGTTACTCGTGTTCGGCTTTGCACCATCTTCAGTCAGGAATTGTTTTCTAGTATTCCATAAAGGTCTTTATATACCGTGAGGTCGAATGGTTGCCACTAGGGGCGCGGTCCTGGTCGGTTTTTTTAATAATTTTCTTTGTGTATTGTAAGTTTTTGGCTTGTATATCGTGTTTGCCTCAAGGTTATCTTTTGTTAAACAGTTCCAGTGTTTTTTTTTTTTTTTGTAAGTAGTGCTGTTAGGGGAGTGGAAGTTGGAATATTTGTTTCTATAATTTTAAGCTCTGCAATGCGTTAAATGTTCGTGATGGTGTGTTAAGTGTGTGGCGTAATTTATTATCCCGTCCAGTCTTTAAGGATCTGGGGGTGTGGTTGAATAGTCCTTTCAATTTTTTTCCTGTCTGTCCAATATATTTATACGATATAAATGTATCACTGTGCATACGTGTTCCTTTTTAATAATTAACGTGTATTATTGAAGGTCGTTCGTGCTGTTTTAATTTCAAGTTTGTTTGTTAATATGTTTTTTCTTTGTTATGTTGACTATTTGTTATTGTTTGGTGTTTATTTATTTCGTTGATTTTTCTTTTGTTAACTTTGATTCTTACTTTTTCTGTGGAAATGATGTCTACAAATAAGTTGTCGATATAACTAAATTGAGTATTATACTTTGGCTGCAAGGAAACAAGGAAATGTCAGAAAATCGAAAAGGCAGACACACTGGCCAGAGGTTCTGAAACAATTCTTGGGATAAAAAATACAAACATAGAGATAGAAACATTAAGCTAACATAAAACATCCTCAAAAGTCTGGCAAACTCACTGCTATAGTAGGAGAGGGCTAAAATCAGAGTTGTGATAGGATTATATACCCGTTGCAACTCAAAAACTCAGAATAACATGGGTATATTAAATTTTTAGCATATTCAATATGGAAAAAGAAACAGCCACATGTATCACTTTTTAATGCAAAGCAACTGCTCAGTGGACGGATAACGCGCAATACGAAGAAAACCCAGGGAAAGAAATTCTAGCATAGACAGTCAATGGCGAAGCACTCCTTAGAAGAATCGAGTTCACTGAAGTAAGGATCTCGGAAAGTACACTAAGTCAGAAGCCTGCAGTGCTTGGGGAACAACCGACATCCTAGCATCTATCATCATCATTGATGTACTCTGTTTTCAGCCTCATCTCTGGAAAGTCGTTCTCTATAAAATGAATTGAATTAAAGCCATAATGGCAATGTAGACAATAAATTGCTTGCCAAATACCTTAAAGTAGCCGCAATAGACATTAACTTAAAACAAGATTAGACATAATGCCCATCTCGTATATACTGGCTTATCATCAAATCTTGACATGACGCGACTTGATTTGGAGACACTGAAAAGAAAATAGAACAGGATAGTAAAAAAGTAATAATTTTCACAAGTGCATTGAGTTTGGCTTTTGAAATGTCCATAACCTACGACGTATCTAACAGCAAAACATCTCTACAACAAAGGACCCAACAAGTGTGCCACATTCAGCTATCTTTCTCTACAAGCGGGACACCTGCGCGGGGTTTTCTGCAAAAGCAGGTGTCCGTGAGTCATCGGGTATGACCTATCTTCATACGCTCGAACAACATTCCTTCATTGCGTTTCAGACTTTCTGTGGGCCATCGCTCAGCCATGATCTTGACACGAAACAGTGCGACCCTTCTCTCAGACGATCTGGCCCATCTAAACGCTGCCAATCTTCATTTATCAATTTTTTTACTGTTCAAAAAGGGTCTCAGTGCCGGATCGCGGTGGTTTTGTCTGGAGGGCAAGACGTCCCAGCTTTCTCAATCTCGTCTGCACATCCGTTGCCCTCCAGCCCATCCTGTCCGGGTGTCCAGACGACTACCATCGTTGTTCCGAAGAACTCCAACTCACGATATGAATATCTTTAATAAGAGCACGGAAAGTTTAGTTTTTATCCTGTTTTTTTTTTCACATGAAAAATGTGTACATAAACTACATAAACAAAGTGAATAGTTTTCCTTTTGTAATATAAAGGTTATCGCGTTCATAAGAAAATTTACCACGCGATTAAATGCCCGTGCAATTGAGTTGATGTGCAATTATAAAATGTATTACTTAAGAACCACGGTACAAGCAAGTTTTCCAAATATGCTCTCGTTAATACATAGATAACACATCGTGGTGTAAATTTATTTACGCTCGTTTAAAACGAGCGGAAACAATGTTGTTGATGTTTTCGTTGGGTCTTGTATCTCCGACAAATTTACGATTTTGAAACATATTTGAAAGAGAATGGAGTTAATACAATTTCTCGAGAGTAAATATCAAGTTTCGAGTTAGACGTGTTTCTATTTCTATAACCATCTCCGACATTCACGTTAAACAGGTGCAAAGTAAAGCCTGGGAACATTCCAGCATGTATCACATTTCTATTTAGAAAACTCGTCAATCAAAATTCCATATTGTTTGAAATTAACATAAAATATGAGAAATGTTGGACTTTTCATGCAGTGATTAGTCAAGTTATCAATGGTTTGTAGTAATCGAATAACAACTGATAAAATATAAATTACCTGACCCGCTAAAATGAAGGTTATGGTTAAAAGACTCGGCCATTTTATGACCCTGGGAACAGCGATAAATATTATTTTATATATCCTTCAGAGTGTGTACTATCCTGTCCTCAGTCCTTTTGTTGCCTTAAGTTCGGCGATGGTCTTTTGATGATTTTTTCAGTCCTGGAAAAAATCCCAATACATATAGAACTTATTTTTAACCGATTCTTTGATAGATCTACTTTTTTGTCAATTTGGCTTGCTGCAAAGGGCTCAGAGCTTTTAGGTCTCTTTATCAAACTGGGTGTTCAGTAGGTTTTCCACCTGAAAGATCGTTGCATATTGCCCTAGCCTTATTTGAATTCAATTGCTCTGTCCATAGATACCTTATGAACCAAACTCGGTCTTGAAAACATGTAAATACCAGATATAGTCGTCACCCGCTTGGATCCTTTTCTCCTTGTCTGCTCTATTGTTATTATCACAATTAACAGAGAACCCCACTGTTATATGGCCATAGTTACAGCTGGCAAGACTTGAATTACATAAATAGTAAAGAAAAAGGGCCAAGTGACTAAAACATATACCTCCGAATTTTGAAGTTTCCCGTTAGTAGTCCTATTTTCATTCTTGTCATAACACACTCGACATTTAGGAGTACAGCCCTTAGTATTTGCGAAGATCATTTGCTGAGCGTTTTTCATCCATCAGCAATTCCATTGAACCGAAGAATTATTCCTTTTTGGTTGTTTGAAGTAGATACTGTTTTGGCAATTCAGTATGTCGAAAAACTTTAGTTACAAAAAACATAGATCGAACAGAACATGGAATAAGAATAATTCTTCGGTTCAACGGAATTGTATTCTAGGTTCATAAAAGTAGTAACCAAGAAAAGAAAAAAAGCTAAACCATGGGCATTTTGTTGTAGAACTATAGGTATCTTCGTCGAACTTTCCTTGGCCAATTTATCGACCTCCTTCTTGCCCTCTGTTCTCTATTTTCTGTTACCAAAACAAGGTTAATTTTGTAGTTATCACCAATTACTGACAAGGCTTGGATATAACTGTTATGGGCTTTACTGCCGATTAGGGAGTTGCGTTCAGTGCTGCCTGCCTGTCCGAGTATATGACTGTATGTTAGTAATACCCTGCCTTTTGTATTCTCTGGCATATGAATGAATACCCACATTCTCCACACGAAAGACTGTGCCATATTGCCAAGCCGTATGGGATTCCAGTTTTTAGTTTATTTACATATATACCACCTCCTGACTCATACTGTGTTTTAGTGCCTTCCGTACGCCAAATATAGTCAGCTTTATCCCACTTTTCGGTATTAAAAAAAATCTTCCTCTTTCTCTGTGTCGCTATTTCTGAATTTCTATCTCTTTTCTTTCTATTTTTATTTTTCTCTCTCGCTCACTCATTCTGTCTTACGCTCTCTCCTTTCTCCTTCAATGTCACTCTCTTTCTATGTCTCTCTTATATGTCCTATGTTTCTCTTTCTCTCTCACACTCTCTCTTTCTCTCTCTCTCTCTCTCTCTCTCTCTCTCTCTCTCTCTCTCTCTCTCCTTATCTATCTATCCACTCTTTCACTGCCATGGGAGTCATGGCGTTGCCAGACATCACGAAAACCTTGTTGGTCTAAAGTTCGTCCCAAAGCTTTACTTACATTCCTTTATATGTGAGTAGGCTATTGGATCTTGTGCCTCCACTACCCAGTAAACCATTGCTCTAACCTCTACATGGACGAAAAATTAAATTGGTCTTAGATTCGAAAGCACTACCCGATAAGCAGAGGAAATCGAAGTAATCCTATAGGGCCTAATCTTCTAAACAATACTGACGTACACGACACGTCGGTTTTCATTAGCGTAACAACTGCTGGGCACAGCAACATCTCTAGAAATAGTCCCCGGTTTTTTCACAAATTGATTATGGTTTGAAGATTTTATGTCAAAGGTGCCGCTTATATTTCACTTTTTTAGAGTGAAAGCGAATTAAAACTTAATTTAGCCCATGTAGCTGAAGTCTTTCTAGGGCGTCTTTCTTTGTAAACAAAATCATGATGGTTTTATTGACAGGTCTTCTTTTTATTTTTTACGGTAACGTTTCAATTTTGAGAGAAAACAGTAGAAACCCTGAAACTTATATCCTTTAAAACGATTACCGCAACTTGAAGCGGTTTACATTTTAACCACTAAATTGAATTTATACTGGTGAAAATGAATAAAAAGATTAAATACGTCTTCTTAGAATCTCATAATATTATTAGTTGTGCTTATTGTGGGCGAGACGACGTAAACCTCGACAAAACATCTTCCGGATATGTAGACACAATTGACTGTTGTCACCCTGAATAACACCCCTTTTCCAGACCCCTACTGTCAATAGAAGCCAGAATTTAGAAGCATGTCTTCTGTATTCACAACATGTGTTTATTCACTGGTTTTTCGTCGTTCGGACACAATAATAATATAAACAGGACTTAGAAAACCTAGTGGCATCAGATGAAAATCGCATCTCTCTAAGTACTATGTAATTTTTTAACGTTGTCAATTAAGAAATGTGCTCATATTAATAATAAATTAGATGTTGATTCTTCAATTAGAAGTAAATATAAGCAAAGTTGGTTTAACAATAATTGTTTAAATCAAAGGAAACTTTTATACTCCCTCATAAACCTTATACCTAAAGAGCGGGTCATCTTACATCGGTTTATTTTGCAAAGGTGACGTAAAGCAAGAAAGTTGTCCTTCAATTTTGTAATCAACTTCATAGTCGGATTCTTTATTGTCCTGGGAGTCGGAGTCCGTCCGGAATTCCGAAAAACTTATGAGGAGCACTCCAAGGAATTAAAACAAAAATAACAAAATAAATAACTGAACTTATAATTTTTATGTAAAAAAAAATTAAAGGAAAGTACACCTCGTCAAATGAAAATAGATCAAATAATAATAATAATAAATTATTTGAAAAATAACAAAAACGCTCACTCACAATATTTGTCGGTGCAGGAGCAGGGGACACGCATCAATGATCTCTTTTTCTTTTCTCTTTCCATCTTATCTCTTCCCCTGTTGCAAAAAAATAAAATTA